GAGCCACCTGGCGACCAGTCTTGCCTATGTAAGTGTCACTGCAACTGCAAGTTAACTGATAAATGCTGTTAGAGGCCGAACTGATTGGCGCGCTGCTCGGAAGGCTGTGGAAAGGAATCCTTCGTGTAGTATGAATAAGACGTAGTTGGGCGGTAGAGTAGTTGCGCATTAGAGCGGACCTGAGCTTGTGACCAACTTCATTTGCTAAGTGATTCCCCTTGAAGGGTACGAACAAATAAACATCCATCATCTCCACAGTTTGTACGGGCAGCTTCTCCTCAGGGGGTTTGCTATGGGTCTGAATGAATTTCTCCGGATACCCATTGGCTAGCAAAGTCCGGTATAAAAACCCTACTTCAGCCTTGAGCAATTCCGGACTGCAAATCCGCCTAGCCCTGCAGAAGAGAGTTTTTACAAGGCCGCGCTTATATGCAACTGGGGCGAAGCTGGAAAAATGTAGGTATTGTCCCCCCCTATGTCGTTTTTCTGTACACCTTGCGCTGCAATATGCCATCGGTCCTCCTCTTGATGAGCACATCTAGAAACGGCAGTCTCTCTTCTTGTTCCTTCTCCTGTGATACAGAAAGGTTCGGGTGAAATGAGTTCAGGAGGGCAGAAAGACGATCAAAATGTTCACCATTAGCGAAGACGAGAACATCATCTACATAATGCTAGTAAAGCTTGGCTTCACCTATGGAGTCGGCAACTTTCCTTTCAATCATACTCAGGAAGATATCTGCCAGAATTGGTCCCATAGCGACGCCGTCAATCTGTTACTTTGGTTGTCCATAGCACCAAGGTTAGAACCCGAGATGCAAGCTCCATTTTATTGCGTTGGCAGAATGCTGTAAAGTTGCGTAGGCCTAGACAGGAGAACGATTGGGGTTCTCATCCAAAGCCTTTGGTTCAAAAATCTTACTGCAAGTCAACGCGGTTTTGGCATTGGACTACAGAGCACCTCTTTTATGGAGTAAGGAACCACCCTCACTCAAACACCAAACCTAGAGGGCCAGGAGACTGAGTTTGTCTGGCCTCTAACCATTGACTAATCTGATATGAGTGGCTCTGAAGGTGCAAAAAGCGTCACCCAGCATAGAGCAATGGATCACTGAGGCATACAAACCATCGCACCACGGTAAGGTCCAGCCTCATTGCGATGGAGGTCCAATCTCATTGCGGAGATCCGAACTACGAAAACTTGAAACAATGGAAATAAACTGCGCTTATCCCATTCGCTTTAACTCTACATAAACGGCCAAAGTACAATGTATCGTACAAATGCAACTCTTATGGTGACATACTGCGTTGGAAACTTGCCGCGAATTCTCCAAGGGAGACGAAGTTAACCAGCTTCGGACCAGTGGCTCAAATTGGTTACATGAATTTGAACAGAGAGCATATACTGGAAACTAAAGCAGGCAACGTTGGCCTGAAAATTTATCATTAACGTAAGTATTTATAATGCATATAAATCAAATAATAACTTTTGCAACATAGAGGCTGGAAGCTCTCCAGATCCGGTGGGTCACATTAGAACGGATTTGCGTACTACAGGTGGCCGTGGTCTGGTATGTAGAAAGTAACACTGGGATATAACGAATTCGCAGTTGGTACAGTTGGTACGACTTCTAATGGAAGCAATATGCGGGCACAAATCAAGGTAGCCAGTAGGGAGCAGAGACGCACATGCTTAGTTTAATGATCGCCTATTTCGTGGACGTGGTGCGTCGGCAAATCGATTTCATTCATGGGTCTAATTCGCAGCGGAATGTGCGTAAAGGCAATCCTCCATCGTTTTAACAAGCGACCAATTCATGGTAATGTTTAAACAGTTGACTGTATAAGTTAGCTGGATATTTGCACCCTGGTGACCTGTCACATGTTATTGCCCACATACCGGAAAATTTGAGATCGCGAGGCAGAGCTGTGATGATCCCCATAACGATCACACACGTTAGCTAGAGGTGGGAAACACCTCAGTTATTGTGTTGCAATACACGATAAGGGAAAAAATGCAATACAAGCACGTCAGCTGAGCCGGCGGTCATCATCATCGTCATACACATTAGCTGCAGGTGAAAAACACAGCTATTATGCTGCAATACAAAAGAAAAAAGAGACATAAGACAAGCACGCCGGTTGTGTCACCGGTAACAATGGACATCATTCTGGAGAGCCAACAACCGGCTAATGTGTAGCAAAATTTGAGTTATGACTAATGAATGAGATCACGTTTGTAGGGTAGGTTGAGCGGATAAGGGAGGAACAAAGAAACTCACAACACAAACGCCAATGAGGTCGGCTCCTAGCCACGCCAGCAAACGTATCCAGTCAAACAGCTTCATCGTCCGTCGATCCCCAATCAGGAAGTCGAGCGGCTCCAACCTAGGCCAACTCGAAGTAAAGGCCTTGATTCATCTCGACCTACTCATCACTTGGCCACCAGTCCCATTCTTCCATCCGCATCCCGGTCGCCCAAACGACTCACGTCGCGAGAGTCGGTACGTGAAACAACGGTGCTTGGCGGTTTGCTGCTTTTTCCTGCACCACAAACAAGGCGTCGGGGACGCTCATTGTTCACATCGGTCTTCTTATCAGAAATGAGCCAAACTGCGAAGGCACCGTTGATTGAACCTAACTAGCCTCTTCATGTCGGCTGATCTAATGAACCAGGTTTCACAACCGTACAGCAGGATCGAAAGTACGACTGCATTGTACACTCCCCTTCATGGCAAGAATGATGTCACACCAGCGCCATAGGTAAACAAGGTTGGCAAAAACACCTCGTGCTTTTGCTATGGGGTTTGTGATCTTGTCCACAATCGCACAGGCTCTGATGCAACTTCCGAGATAGTTGAATTTTTGAACGACTTCTAGCTGAGTCTCACCAAGGGTCAGCGCAAGAGGCGGTCGCTGCAAAGCTTGGAGGAGAGGTTTGCACACTGAGGGTGCAAAGCAGAGCCCGAAACGACTGACAAGCAGTGTTTATCTGTCCAGTGCCGCTTGGCACATTTGTGAGCTTTCACAGATGTGGGTAATATCGTCGGTATACTCCAAGTCAGCTAAGTCTCTTTATTTCAGGTGGTGGGTTTTCAATTTTGCCTTAATGCTTTTCTTTGTCACATAAATATCTGCCTGTACTCTATTCCATTAACTTGAACACCTCACTTATTCCAATTGTATTCGATTTCCATAACATTTTTGTGTTTGTGGCATTCCGTAACATATACTTTCTGACCTTGTGGACTTATCTAGGATTCGTTTGTAAACAACTTATTTTATATGCTCATTAACTTATGGTTTATGTCACCGTTTCCTTATGCATTAATCGAGTTATTTTCTTTGTATCTCTCTCTCTCAAGTTCTTGGCTGTTGTTTGATATCCCGGTGTGGCTGCGCTTGATGTGCATGTTAACAAGGTACCTACCTGTCTATTACCAACTACCTCGTTCAAACTGGCTCCAGGAGACAGCTGGTCATTGTTGGAGGGGACGGGGTGCACGGTCCTTGTGGTCGTGCTAGGCTCGAAGAGTGGTTCCGTGCACTCAGTGTGGAGCGGACTACAGTCCAGCCACCGCCTTGTGTGCGCTGGATTCCCAAATATAGCGGGCTTGTGGTTGCCTGTGAAGGAGTGTGGGCCGGCTCCGTTAATGAAACGTAGCTCCCATCCGCAGGCCTTCCGGTCTTATTCCTTCGGGTTTACACTGGATATGGGGTGTGTGTATGGAGCTGTGGGTGGTGCAGCGCAAGCCACCCATGGTCCCTCTGTAGGCGCAGGCATCCTGTGGCTGACCACAGTGACAGGCAAATCCGAAACCGCATGCCGCCAACCATACACCATGTCAAGAATTCGTTCACCTGGTAGCAACTCCAACTATGCTAAGTAGTGTCCTGTGAACGCGATCTCCCTGACTTGGGCGATAGTAAAGTTGAATAGGAAAGGTGATAACAAGCTTCCTAGTCTTTCATCGCTGGAGATATAGAAGCTCGGCAACAGCTGGTCGTAAGCCCTGACTCTGCCGAAATAAGCGCATAAAGCGCTCGCATAATATTTACATAATTCTCGGGTGCACCTTCGCTTAGCAGACAATCCCCAAGGGCCCATCGATCCACTGAATCGAAGGCACCTTTGATGACGAGGAATACGACAACGGTGGGCCGCCAATGTAGGTGACGATGTTCCGACTGGCGACGAAACCCGGCTTGCTCTTCATGAATCTGGCTTTCACGAACGCCAGTCAATCTGTGAAGGATTACAGTGGCAAGTAATTTCGAGGCGATGGGGATCATACTGATTCGTCTATGGTTTTCACATTCAGAACGCGAGCCTAGTTTGAAGCTCGAGACAATAACGGAGTGGCTCCAGTCGGTATGGAGAGTTTCCTGCTCCCACAGTTTTACTAGTAAATCGTGTCAACCAGCAACAACAGCAGGGCCCTGGAATTTGTAGAGGACTAGATGATGATCAACTGGTCTTGTGGCTTTGTACAACTTTGACAGTCCGATCTCCAGTTCGACTCTTGAGCGAGAGGGCAGATCTAAAAGGACGGCCCAGGGAACAGGGTAATCATTTGCCGGTGTAGAATTTTACAATTCCGCTCGATTAAATTACTATTCAAAACCATCAGCCCAACGCTTCAAACCTTTTGACAGGTTGTGCATGGGTTGTCCACTCTCGCCATAAATTGCTTCACTAACACTAGGTCTCTTGCTACCCCATTTAAACTGACGGCAGCGGATAGACATAGTTCCGGTGAGCTAGCAGCTGGTAATTGTGCCGCATAGTTATGCTGGGATTATGTTTTCTCCAGCTCTGACGTTGGTTTTAGTCGAAATGTTCAGTCAATCTAGTACATGACATCAGTCAAACGTTCCGGAAAGAGTTTTGACGAAGTAAACTGATTGCTTCATTTTAGAGTCTACTTGAGTAAATTTCACACAAAAACGGTTGCCTTTGAATTTCCCGAAAATGTCGCTTACTCATCTCCGATGCAATTTCAGATAATCTACATGTACAGGTATTGAACTTGACCTTTGATTGACATCAAATTTGTCCATCAATGTATGCGAACCTGAAGGATGTCGGCTGGATGTACCACGGAGTCCCTTTTTGCAAGAAAAAAGGACCAGTGTTTGTGCCGCCTATTTCACAGATTCCGGATATCGGTTGTATGCCAGAAGAGGCCTATCCAAAATGTGAGCCCCAGACCATATTTAAGTCAACTGATTCGCCCTATATTCGCCTGGCCAAAATGGGAGGTCGTCCAGACCTGCTTTGCTTTAAAGAAAATGAGCCCTACAAAGGACCTGCCGCTCCGTATTGCCGCTGCGATTGGTATTATTTAGAGGATAATAAGCAAGAAGATGCTGAGAATGCACAACCGCAGAAGAAGCATGTTTTCAAGGTCCCGTTCTACATGACGCATCCAGAGAACAAGAAAACTGAAGTGCTAACAAAACCCATTGTACAATCCACCCCGCCGGAACTGCCACCACCGAGAAAGGCAGTCAAGTGCCGCAAACTGCCACCACATCGACCAGGCTATGCAGATTACAATAGAAAACCAACCAAGATTGGTATCGCCTACAAACCGCCCGTGCTCAGTACACCGGTCACATTTCCAAAGGTAAGTGTAGTATCCTGAACAGTGGATCCTTGGTACCTATAACTCTGATGATTCACTCGGATCCCGCGGGCACTTTTGCTCATTCGTTACAAATTAACTCAGAGTTTATTACTTTCTGCATTTGTCTTGTTTCTTCTTTTGTGCATGTCTTATTAAGGTTAGATTACTAGCAACAACAACTTAAAAGATGTACCGTGGAAATCCATTCGCTAAATGTAGATTTACGTACTCATGGCACAATTAATGCAGCAGATTTGTTTTGAATAATGCATGAGAGAACCAACCATGGAAATATCAATCTTTTGACAGGACACTAGGATTGAGATGCGTGACGATTCCGGAAAACCAAACAGCCGTCATCCCGGTAACCACAGTAACACAGTCAACTAATCACAGCACTGAATGCGGCTCATCTGACATTCAGTCTTCGGACAAATAACGAGCCCCGGCAGAGACAATTTTGCATTGATTAATTGCAGTAATATTGTCAGACATTCTTCAACACGCTAACGTACAAAGCACGAAATATGTACGGTAAATCCCGCTAGCGTGCACGATTTTAAGGGCGTTTCTTCCTACAGCGCCATACAAGGGCAAGGTTGCGACGGAATTTCTGTCTCGTCGTCTTTTGTTTGCACTCAGACGCACCTGTCCATCAGCGCAGATGCAACTCCAGTTCATTATCATTCCGATGGAGCGACTAAACTCAGGAGATAGGAGCCCTGTCCACACCAACTCAATGTGTATACACATTTTCATGCTCCTTTGGAGCGGAATACATTGGTTGTACGACACCGCGTCTATCTGAGGGAATGAAGCAACACCATCCGGTCGGGCTTAGAACTGGAAGCGGAAATACAGCCAACTCTTCTGTGACCGCGCATCTAGCCGATACCGGGCACGCCGCAAAGTTCACTGATTCGTTCAAAATTATCTATTGTTGTGATTTAACAGACAACGCTGTTAGCATCCAATTAACTCGCTTTATTAGTAACGACTTGTACAATCTGTCTGCACATTTTGATGTGCATATAATTGTATAAGCTTGAAGATGAATTATCGAAAACATAAGTTCGCTTACCTTGACTTCTGATCTTTCTATAAGAGCTGTTCTCAAACCATACTGCTAGCTTTCATTCCACATAGTTTCATGCGTCTTTGCAAATGATCGACTAGGTAGGAAATGGTGGTAGGACCGTGGTAACACTCCTCCGGAAGTGCAAAGTTTTACCGATTTACACAGTGTCTGCATTAATTGTGGTTACATGTTTAGACAATCATCTAAGAATAGCAAGAAACTCGCCTGCCCCTTAGCGCGATGGGTTTCGTTATTAAGGGTAAGGTGATTTGCAAATAGGTATAACGCCTTGGCTTGAAGATCATTGCCGACATTGATTCTTTCTGTGACATCAAAATGAACAGATTGGTGGTACACAACTAGACAGCTAAATCAAACTTAAAGCGATTACTAAGACCAATGAAATCATCATAGTTAAAAAATAAGTCCTTAACTAGCCCCATGGATACAAATTTACGACACGTTACTGGACGCACATTCTTGCATTCCTTGTTTTCTGCGACCTACTCCGCCGTAATTTGCCACAGCTCGCTGGGTCTACACTTATTTGTCTTGAACAGACAAGCAACACCTCGTGAAACAACTTTCTCGGGAACATTACCAGTGCATTCTACATGGATCCGGAAATGAAGTTTTATGGCGGTGTTTAACGATACTCACCCGCATAGCTTTGCGTTATTCCAACCGATGAACCCATTCTTTTGTCTCATTCAGCGGAGCCTTTCATCTGTTATCACCAGTTGCAGTTCACCATTGTGTGGGAAAGTTACAGCGTACTTTACACGTCCACGCAGTTAGCGCTACTGAATCTTTCCGCCAGTACTTCAAGCCATTCATCACATTGACTGGTAGGGGTCACTGGAACTGACGGCTCACGAATTCAGTTGACTGGCGCACCAGCCGATTGTTTATTAAGGGCACTTCGCAGTCTCATCAGAGCGACGTGAAATGCTGAATTTGTCCTGGACATCAAATGAACCTAAAGGATGATACATAACACTGGGTCATAATAGCCATTCAATCGACGCGGTGCCTAACATACTCAGGCTAAAAGCTTATGTGGCTTAGGTGTCAAACTTGGCTTAGTGGGAATTCCGGGTTCCAAAAGTTGGAAGCATTTTCACATTAAATACGGAAAAAAGTAACACGCATGATGAATCTTTACCACAATAAACCAAACTCTCTCTTGCTGTACGTCGAATGCATGGCTACCCCGCTGTCAGGGGTGTTCCTAGTGGTCTAGATGTATGAATAACTACTCTTGAAAGTTGGCTGCGCTTGACGTACATGTTGACAAGTTGTCTATGTGTCTATTACCTACTATCTCGTCCATACCGTCTCCAGAATACAGTTAGGTGTTACTGGAGGGGACGGGGTGCACGGTCCTTGCGGCCGTGCTAGGCTCGAAGAGTCGTTCCATGCACTCAGCGGTCCAGCCACCTCCTAGTATGCGCTTGATTCCCCAGATACAACGTGTTTGTTTGCCAGTGAAGAAGTGTAGGCCCGCTCCGTTGATGAAACCTTGCTCCCATTCACATGCCCCCCGGCCTTATTCCTTCGGGTATACACTGGATATGGGGTGTGTGGTTGGATCTGTGGGTGGTGCAGCGCAAGCCATCCATGGTACCTCTGTAGGTGCAGCGGCCCTGTGGCTGACCACAGTGGTGTTTATTAATGGCCATGCACAGGGAAGCTCCTCAAACTTCCTAATGTTTGCCAATATTAGCAAGATTTGGCGCAGTATGCATGAGAACCCCGACCAGCATATGCTTCAAAATGACCTAGATACGGTATACCAATGATCAACCCAAAACATATTTTTCAACGTCAGTAAATGCAAGCTGCTTTCCATCCGACATCTAAGCATCTACTCATACCGGCTCGGAACGAATGTACTGCAACAATCAAATCTTTAACTTGTCTTGGGTGTCCTGGTTCAAGATGACTTGAGTTGCTCCAGGCAATCCGAAGAGACCTGGAGGTCTGGAAACCAACACGTCGGGATGTTGCGACGGGTGTTTGGACGAATAAACGACTCTATATTTCCATAAATGTTCAGTGCGTATGTTCGCCCCATGTCCAATACGCAATTATTTCCTGGCATTCATGACTGAAATACGACCTTAGTGTACTGGAGCAGTCACAATGTCAGGCATCAAGGAAGCTAACTGGAATGCGGAATCTTTCATACGATGAGGGGCTGCAACGATTGGGGTATTGAGTGGAAGCTATGGCACATTACGAAGCGATCTTATTATGGCATATTTGATTCTGCGAGACCCACATCATGTGTGCTGCCCTTAACTGCGACAAAACGCCAATACAAGATTGAGGGGCCACTCATTGAAAATCGCTGTACATTATAGCCCTCTGGAGTGCCGCAGAAATTTCTTTTCTATTCGTGTCTGTCTTCCGTGGAATGCTCTCCCAGAATCGGTCGTCTCTGCACGGACACTAACAGTAGTTAAAAGACGGTTGGATGACACACTCATCCACTTACCATTTGTCACAGCGCTACGTCTTCATCCTTCACCTGGAGTTTACTATGGAATTATTTGATGTTAACTGCGGGTGCTGTGAATCCAAACGGATTGCAGGACTACGGCGGAGCAAACGGTAGTCCTTATTTTCATATTTGAAGTACTAACTATTATACTATCACTATTATCATTGTTGTTATGTCGATATCCCCACCAACTATCCAACTGGACTTTCAAAGTAAAGCTTCTTAACCCGTATAAATTCATTGTTCATTGTATGGAAGTGAGTCCTGACCTTCTCGTGTGCATATCATACATAGGCTTTTGACAACACATGTTTACTAATTTGTGGTGGCAGCAGCGGGTTCGCAGCGATAAAGTCCGGTGTCGTGTCCTGGGAAACTCGAGCCCTTCTCTTGAACGCTTTGTCATAATACATCAATTGAGGAGGCTTGGCCAGGTTCTATGTATGTCATGCGAGGACTTGCCATGCCGCGTCTTATTTGCTCGCCTGAGATTGAATTTGAAGGGCGCGCGTGTAGGTAAGCAAATGAGTTACCGGCAAACCATGATGTCGCCGATCTTGCCATCGTCGGCCTTGTAAGTCTTCCTGGCTGGGGGCCTAAGAATGGGGACTGCCAATGGCTCTACACATTTGGTGACATGGCGCGAAACTGGAAATAATGGGGGGACTGTATAGTAAAATGTTTTGCACTATGTGCTTAGAACTATACCATTCAAAATGCCAAAATAAGAACAAAATGTCATGTGAAAGCACACAAAAATCCTAAAGCCAATGAGCTGAAAATGATTGTCCTCTATTCTTGACATTGGTACTTCTTTATTTCATTCAGCATGGTTTTTCGATGGTCTGCGCCATGCAGGTTTAGTAAGCCACGAGAGAGGCCACATGGGACCAATATCTAAAAGACGACGGGCGCTGCTGAGAACCTAAGCAGAACCGATACAGCGTAGGTAGGTACGCTGCATGCGCTTCCATTCGAGTAACTAACCGCGTGCTTGCATGCTGAAACTTTATGTAAGCGCTTGTTTTGCTATATTGTCCTAATGCTTATCTTTTATCTCATAATGACGCCTACCTAAATAATCTTCTATTAACTTGCACACGTCGCATAAGCTATGTGTATATGACTACGTGAAATTTTCGCGTGTGTCACTTTTACAAATCTTTTCCTGACATCCTAAAGTTATGGCGAATTTCTTGATATCCAATTTATATCGTGTACTCATTAAACAAAGAGTTATGTCGACGTATTCGCATGCTTTATTTGATATTGTCGCTTCCAGTGCTTGGCTGAAGCCTGACATCCTGATGTGGTTGCGCTTGAGGTGGGTGTTGACAAGGTGCCTACCTGTCTATTACCCACCACCCCGCCCACGCTGGCTCCAGGAGACAGTTGCTCGTTACTGGAGGGGACGAG